GAGGGAGGCGAACCCACAGTGATTGTAGACGAACCTTGGGGTAGGCGGTAGGCGAGAATGATGAGCTCTGAATGATGCAGGCGGACAATCTATCCTGCCCGAAGTTGATGGACTTTTCGGGAGCCGGAAAAAGAGGCAGACTTCTTCCCAAATGTTTGGCGTGATGGTCCGTCGGAAGTGTGGCAAGTTGACAGAGCAGATTTCATGTATTCTGATTGAGTGGGCTATTGCGACATGGCAGCCTGTAACTTCATGCTAGTTAGCAACGATGATATATAGGTAGCGCGCGGCTTTCTGCAGCCAAGATAGAGAAATCCCTGTGTGGAGAGGAGGATGGGGTAGTAGCGGTCTTTCGAAGCCACCAGGTGACTACAGACATGACCAACCAACAGTTTGATCATTTTCTCATCCGAGCGCGGAAGATGGAGGAAGCTGAAGAGGAAGAGACCTATTCCATAGAGGCCAGAAGACTGACCGAGCTACCGACCGGACTTTACCAAACCTGCGCGGGTTTCGGTAGAGGGGCCGTTACGAATCCTTACCAAGATTCTAAATTAGTCAACCGCCGGGCAGGTGACGCATCCGTCGGTCGGGCAGCGTTGGCCGTCTGACAGGTCAAGTAGTAGTGGTGGATGTCAAAGCTCGGGAAGAGGGGGATGCTCAAGCCGGGGAACTTGCGCGTTCATTGACAGCAAACAGCCACAAGCTATGATGACCACAACCGATCACAACCGGTAGGATCTGCGGCGGCCAGTCAGTCATCCACCTTCCACCCGGCGCTCCAAGTTGATACTCGGTGCCATCAACGCTGTCTCATTGCCAGAGCTTCAACGTGTCGCTGCCGTCCAGATCGAGTCATTCGACCCTTTTCCCCGAGTTCACTGACGTCGTAGAACCTTCAACAGCGGAACAGCCACGGTTGCCCTTTCAAGAACGGGTGGACAGTCTTGCTCGACGGCTGGAATACAAACTTCGGGAAGCTGGATCGCATGTTGGATACAAGGCGGAGAATGCGGAGGGGGAGGTGGTAGGGATCGCGTACTGGATGAAGCCTGGTGAGCGGTTCAAGATCTACGAACCGGGGAACATGAGCGAGGCGGAACGTGCGAGGTATGCCGGGTATGATATGGAGAAATACAGTGCGCTGTATCGAGCGTTTCAAGACAAGATTGACGAGGTGACCGAGGGCCGTCCTACATGGTGGGTCCCAAGAGTGCAGAGGGCGGAATAGCCAGAAGCTCATGGCGTCTCGGGTGCACGGCTCTTTCTAGGTACTTGGAAATTCTGGCCGTTTCCCCATATCACCAGAAACAATCTATTGGGTCACAACTACTCGACCTTCATCTGTCCAGCATGCAGCCGGATCACTTGGCGTGGCTCGAATCGTCGCCGGCAGGGAAGAGGCTTTACGTTAGTCGAGGATTCGAAGATGTGGGAGATGTCGTTGCGGAAGGCTGGGCGGATGGATTCCCTGCGATGAGGAGGAATCCGCAGTGAACGGGTTGCTACGGACAGCGTGTATGCATCAGATATGTAGAATAGACGTTGATAGCTACGTCCTTTACCGCGTGTATGATGGTATATCGAGACTACAACTTGTTCACAGCACGGTCTCTCCGCACCGCAAGACGCATATATATTGTCCATTTCCTCTCTCTTCAGCTTGTAGATTATCGCAATCTCGTCAATGTGTGTGGAAACAAGACGAACAGGTTCCAGGGGCCTTGAATACGTTTTGGGTGAAGCTGTCGAATCCCCTTGCTGGTGAGAGTCGATAAGAAACGCAAGCAAGAAAGAATTGACTCACTCGTCACACCCGCACGTCGCACAATTCGCCACAGCCGCAACTTCACTGCCGATTCCATTGTAACCGTTCTCATCATCGCTGCCACCAAATGGACTGCCCTGGTGACTGCCCTTTCTCGAGGCTGCTCCGAGTGGCTTTGCCATTCCTGTCGGCATGACCATTCGAGGTCCCGTCATGCCGTTACCGTCGGAGGGAGTTCCGAACGGTGAATCCGACGGAGAACTAGACACTGCAGAGGATATTGCGGTGCCAGTTTGAGTCAGCCGACGTGCAGGAGGTGGTGGTGCGGGTCTCTTGCTCTGCGAAGATAAGGATGTCGAAGACGCGAGTCGACTCGATGCGGAGAGTGCTGGACGAGACGTCGCTACGACCGTCGCAGGCTGGTAGCCGTTACCATCGACGACTGGATGGGCAGAACTATCGATGCCCGTGATGGGTGGCGGTAGAGTTCTGGTCGTCGGAGGTGCGCTGTTAGAGGAAGTTCTAGGAGGCAACGTACGCGGCCTTGCGGCCGAAGGCAAAGGGGGTGGTACATTGGCACTAGCAGGCTCAGAGGTGAAATGGTGGTCGTCTGCATCTACGTCGTCAAACCCGAAATCCAGTCCATCATCTTTGGTTTCGCCAGCTTCGTACGGCTCCGTGTACGCCGAGGGAAAAAGACCGCTTTCCCCTTCGTCATTCTCTCCAATCCACCAGTCTGGTGATACCTCCTTTGTAACAGTTATGATATCGCCGGAGCGCATCGTCAATTCGTCCATGGCCTTGCCCGAGTATTCAAACATCACACGGACGTGGTGAGCAAGGACCGAGTGATGATCAACGGGCGGTGTCCTTGACTTTGTGATGGCCGGTATAGGATGGTGGTTCATTTTGGTAGTGTTCGAGTATGAACGATCCCGTCCATGCGTAGAGAATCTGCTGTGCTCCTCATGCGTGTCGGACTCGTCATCCTCGGAATGGTCGTTCAGGTTGACTTCGTTTTGCCGGAACGAATGGATGGGTGCGTCCTCCTGGTCATTCAGAGATCCGTATTTTTTCATAGTCGGGAATCTTCTGTCTGCGGGAACCTTGTCCTTTTTACCAAAGGATCCAAACGCGCCCATGAACGATTTCGTTCGACCGCCGGCACTGACGTTGCTCGCGGATCGTTCACGGTTGGCCGTGCTTGGCTTCTTCTTGTCCTCATCGTCCGAGTTGATGGAGCGTGAGCTGTCTCGACGCACAGGCAATACAGCCGGTCTTTTTAGTGGGCTGGATATCTTGGGGACGGATACTGTGCGCGAGAGAGGAGCACGGCTGGAGGCTGACGTCGATTTTGCACAAGGCCTGGTGGAAGAGGCGGAGGAGCTACCGCTGATAGAGTGAGCGTGGGTTCAGCCAGGAATGCGACCGTGGCAAATATGGAGGTGTCACGTACGTGCTATCCCATTCTGTCTTCAAGCCCTCCAAGATTGCATGATACTGGTTTACAAAGTCCAACTCGGCTTCCAAAAAGTCGGAAAGGTCATTGATCATTGCTGTTTCGCTCTCTTGAACGGTCGCCATTCTTGCCAACGTGTCTTCTTGGATCTCGTCACTGATAGTGAATTCTATGAGTCAAAGGAGAAAGGAGGACGGGCGCAAGATGCTTACAATCTCGCTTGCGCCGTATCGACTTCTTCTTCCAAAGCCCGGGAGTCCTTTTTGCTCGAGTTCATCTTTCTCGTTGCGGCGTCGAGTGCCAGTCTGTAAGAAATAGCGCGGGTTAGCTTCAATCATGTGAACCGGAGATAACAGGACAGGTAACAGTACGGACCTTCTCGAGTCCAACTTCTTCCGCAAAGCCTGATATTCTTGTACCACGGCAAGGGCACTCTCCATTCCCGAAACATAGCCTTCGCCGACTCGACTCGCATACTCATCCTGAGCCTATGACAATACATCAGCACCTGCACATGGGTCTGAAACGTTGAGCATACGTACCAGCGCAATCTTGCACCTCGCTCTGCCAAATTTCTCCAGTCTTTCTGCGTATTGCCGATCTCCAACGTTATCTCGAAGCATTTCCTCTCCCTGGGATATCATGACGAGTCCAAGAGCTTCTCCAACGAACAGCTGGTCTTTGGGGTTTGCACCATCATCGGGGTATGGATCCGCAGATGACTTCTTCTTGGATATATTGGAATGGTATGGTAGGGAGGTCGCATGCAGGCTGATCGGGAAGAAGTTACGATGAAGTTAGCGTTGACGAGAAACCAGGACAGTGATAGACAAGCACATACCGTTCAATGCCCTTCTTTCGCAGATCTATCTCACGTTCATACTCGACAAACTCGCTTGAGAGCTCTGTCTTTCCTTCCTTGAAGAAACGCTCGCCGGTCCACTACAAAGAGGAGAAAGGTCCTTTGGTCTTCTGATGGCCCCGGCTCGGACTTTTAGGATACTCACCTGACTAAGCTTGTCTATCTGTTGTACCGGACGGGAGCACCACATCAGCAGTCTGCTAAAGTTGTATTCGCAAGCGCAGCGGAAAGGACGACAGGAGGCAAACTCACCTGTTTGGTATATCGCTTCATAGTGATCGCTCGACCATCTATCTATTGCGTGTAAGCAGCGTTGCCAATCGGGGAAGAGGATGGAACCAACGCCTTCAAGAGAATGGGGAGAAAGTTGCTCTAGACGCCGTCGAGAGCCTTCTACTGATGACAATGACAAGGTGTAAAGGTCAAAGTCGAACGATGGATGGATGTGAATTGAGCTCTTGCTCGCTCGTCCGACGCGATTGCTTCCGAGACACGAGTGAAACGACCGCCGATACTACCACGCGCGCATTGTTCCCGTCTGCTGTCAGCGACAGTACTTTCTTTTTCCACACCTATAGTGATGATCTCGTGCCGTCTCCAGGTCTAGCCCGTTGTAGGGAACATATACAGCCACTGTATCCCTGCCAACAACATTGGCCGTCGCATCGCCTCAACCGCTGCTTGGCCAACGCGCAACGAGATCACACTGGCGCGGACCGACCCCCAACTTCCCTCTCTTTTGTGCTTACTGTGGCTATTTCTCTGGATCTATTGCTGCCCATGGCCCACCCTCACGACCTTCTGATTCAAGAGAACTCCAGAAGACTGCGCGGAACTGTAAAAGAGAAACATTAGAAGAAGCGGGTTGAAAACTTTGTTGTGAGTCATTTGACACGTCGACTTGTGTCTCCGCCTGAATGGCCAAGTGGTAAGGCACTGCACTTGTACGACGTGGTCCCTATGGAACCAGACTTCGGCAATGCAGCGATCGTTCGTTCGATCCGGACTTTAGGCAGCTTCTTTTTGCCATGTATGCGGGGAACAAGCAGGATGGTCGAAGTTTGCACATGTATCCCTCCATGCGCAGTCCATTAAATCGACTTTTTTTTGTCGTTTTCGATGGTATTCCCCGTCGAGCTGGGATGAGATTGGTGAAGTCATGGCTCCTTATCAAAAGATGAGAGGATGACGGCAGTTGATGCTTGGTGGACTTCGCAATGCCTTGGGCAAGGTGAGCCAAGAGCAGGAGAAGGAGGGGTTTTTAAGCGCCAAACTCGCTTGTTTACTTTGTGGGTTTTTTTTTTGTTTACCAGATAAACGTAACTATTATGGTGAGACATCGATGATGCTGATCTTCTCGGGATAGCGGGATAGTCCATCATAAAGTACGAGGCTGGACATAGAAGTAGTATCACTCGGTGAGCTGAGCGCTGCCTCTTTCGTGCGTGATAGGTACTGGCTCGCCCCCTTCACGGAATATCTCTGACGGAATTTCACTCGTCGGGTCTCCATACGATGGACCGTGGAGCCGGGATGATGACGCCAACAAGAAGTCAGCCTGAAAGCCCAACAAGTCGCTCACGGATCCGCTTCTCGCGACCCAGTATTCGCTCTCCGTTGAACACACGAGGAAATGTGCCGAATTGTATGGATGACGTGGGAAGTCCATCCAGAAGTAGAGAAGCCTCGCCCTTGACATTGCCTTACGTGGACTTGGAGGCTGGAAAGCATGGCGAGAGGGATATATCGGAAGAAGCGGTAGAGATGCGGAGCTGGGGTAAAGCCAAGGCGGATAGTCGAGCTGACAAGGAGGATGAGTTTGGGATGAGAGACGTGACTCCTCGGAGAAGGACAGTCAGAAAAAGTGAGTGTTCGTCGAGACAGTCGTAAAGGCAGGATGCATACTGAAAGATAGGCCTTAGCTGTTCCGAAGGCTCACCTAAACGGGCAGCCAGGCCCGCCGAGCTTTGCTCGATCAGAGTTTGAAACCGTACGTACGTTTACCTGACGTGTCGTTCAAGCTTTGACCTACAGCTGGTTGTAGATCGTGCGGCACTTGCGGAATCGAAGTCCATACAAATCAGCCACGTCCAAGCCAAAATTTCCAAACAATTTGGATTACGCCTGGCAATTCGCGGGTTGGGGCCAGTAAGTATCTTCCATTGGCGAGGTACGAGAAATGCTACCGACACCATCTGCGCTAGACTGTCCTACCTAGATTTGACGAAGCAGGACTTGGAAGAGGCCGAAATGCGCTTAGCAGTAGAGCTGGATCGACCGAAGCTGGACCAGTATCGAGCGACGTCAATAGCGGGAAATGCCGTGTGGGGATCGGTGTTCTATTCGTGAGTTCTCGTAGCACGTCGAAAGATAGCAAAGTCTCACACCCTGGGAGGTGGCTGTAGCCTACCAGCGATATGTGCTGTTGCCGATGTTTATTCGCCGATCTGCATGGCGGTAGCTTGCTCAATCCTATTCCTGTTCCGCCCTATCTTATTGGAACTAGGGAGCGCCATCCGCGTAGACGGTGCTAGTGTAAGAGTCTATCCCAGATTGACAGTAAGAGGAAAGTGTGCTTATAGCCCTTCTTGCTGCAGTATGTATATCTGCTTAATTTTACAGCCAAGGGATGGGCTCTGTGTGCAGCTGCTGTAACCCTTATTGACGCGTATATCTATACACCACGGGCTTTCATGATCGAACGAAAGCTGATCTGAATTGGCTTCGTCGTAGTGTCGCGACCGGTGTGGTATCTGCTGCAACAGCCGCATCAGTAAGTCAACGTGACGTGCCTCCGTACCACGAGACAGTCTCTTACCTACCTCCTCACAGTATATAAAGGGAGAGGTCGCCCTGCCCTTCCCGGATCTGGTACTCACCATTATCATCCTCGCTGCTTTCACGGGTCTCCTTCTCTTCGGTATTCGCGAGAGTAGCAGTGTGACTTTAGGCATTTGTGGGTTGCATGTAAGTGCGCCTCTTACCTTTTAGTTTGGATGTCTCTGATACGCAGGGGTTTCTGTCAGTGCGTTACAATTTTGATACTAGTCATTACAGCTTGCGTACACTGGGCTGCGACTGGCAGTGAGGTGCTAGTACGGAATTGGCAAACAAGCCCCTCTGGAGGCAGCAGTATTGCCAAGTCAATATTCAACGGGATCTGCATCGGACTCCTTGGAGTGACAGGCTTCGAATCTGCGCCCACGTGAGCAAATCTCAGTTCCAATCCATCATGCTCACAAAAGGTACTGACACTACGTCATTGAATTTGCAGGTACATCTCGTTAATCAGACCAGAAGCATATCCGGCAGTATTGAGGAACCTCATTATAGGAGCGTTAATTATCAACATCTCCGTGCTGATCGTTACATACGCGGTCTTACCATCTGGGATGATCAGTAGTGGCGCCAATATACTCAGTTTAGTCGGGCAAGTGGCCGGTGGGACTTGGTTGCGAAAGATTGTCGTTGTGGATTCTGCTATTGTGGTAAGTCCGCATGATCTCACGTGCTTACTATGGAGACTAATGATTGAGGAAATAGCTATGCGGCGGTGTACTGGTCAGTTCGCGACCTTGTTACATAACATCAATTGCACCGTAATCCAACTTCAGATATTCGCTCATAGACAGGTGCCGTGACGACATGCAGCTTGGTGGAACGTTTGACGGCGTGAGTCGACGTGCGCATTAACAAAGTATGGCCTTGCTCACTCGCAAGGACTGTCATACAGCGACCGAGCGTTGCCTGCATTGTTCAAGAAACAAATACCGAAAACAGGCAGTTTATGGGTCGCCTGTGTACTCTACCTCATTCTGTGCCTGATCATATATTCAGCATCGAGCTTTGGCCTGACGCAAGCCTCCAACCTGTTCAGTATGGCATTCGTGAGTGCGCCTCTGTTCGAGAAGTCTGCTCCACAAGCTAAGCTCGCTATGGCGTTCAGATGGCCGTTCTGTTCTGCGTAAGTTTGATACCGTCGCACCACACATAAGCTATACATCGCCGTTGAACTCTCTTTTTTCAGTTTGCACTATGTGGATTGGTGATCAAGATTACCCGGAATAGATTAAAACGGTCGTATCATGCGCCTCTCGCGGTCGTTCTTTCAGCCAATGTCGTCATTCTCACCGCCATAGCCGGCAACATAGCACAAGGGTAAGTGTAATGGGAGTTCCGGTGCGCAAGCAAGGCCTAGGCTGATGTTCGGTTTGCGTTATAGCCCCATGATATTGGCGTTGTTTGCCGTTGCTCTGATCTGCGTCATTCTCATATTGCTATCGTACCCGCAGTTGACGTCGTTCTACGGATGGTTTGTGTACCTGTGCGAAAGAAGTGCATATCTGTCTTCTCGGAAACAGTTCCATTTATGGAAGCTGGGAGCGATACAAAAGATAAAGGATATGAGGGGTCAAGGGGTTGTTGTATTTCTGAAGCAGGACACGGTAGGTCGCCTTCTCCTCTGAAGTCCGCAGCCGCTAAAACAGCACACGCCCTCCCACTAGATATCCGCAATGGTAGAAGCTCTCATTTACGTCCGAAACAACGAAAATACCAGCCGTGTAGCGTTCGTTCACGCATACGATCTGGTTGACGACATTCCGTACGTGCTTCTCGTGATCCTACGATGGGCTCGCGGTACTGACCCGTGCTATGCTCTTTCACGGCAGATCTGAACTGGTGGCAAACTCGAAACTGGTCGACGAAGCGTTTCCCGACATTACTGTTGATCTGCACCTCGTGCCGCTTCATGGACGATTCACTCCCAGTTTGGTGGAAGCCGTTTCATCCAAACTCAATGTTCCCAAGAACCTAATGTTCATCGGAACGATAAGTGCAGGTCACGAGTTACCCTACGATCTTGGCGACTATGGACTTAGGATCTTCAGGTCCTGATTGAAGCGGTTTGTTGTATTCCATGTATCGCGGTTGCGATTCCTCATCGTCGTATGAAAATGCGATTCGACTGACATCGCGTGACAAATGCCTGTCGAAGATAGGTCGTAAACCGGATGATCATTGGGGCTTGCGTCTCGATAGTTGCAGTGGTATTTTAGTGGCAAGGAGTGTAGGATTTTCTTGAATCGCTACAACCATTGCTACCAGGTAGCAGATGCGACAGGGGCGATTGCGGAAAGCCAAATCGATTCCGTCGCACTGTGAAACGCTGAGCGCAAGCTGGAAATCTTGACTGATAAACGAATCCGACCTCATCTCACGGAACTCTGTCAACTAATCGACATTCACGACGTTGACTACCACCCTTTCGACGCTAGAGATCAGTCTCTTCGTCGTAGAAAGCCAACCATCCCTCCGTTAACCATCACGGGCGGGCATCCTATCATCAGTATCAACCACGATCGAACAACGATAGGAGAAGATGGTAATGACTAGCCTCTTCAGTGAGCTTCAGCACGGTATGTCAACTGCTCTGAGCAGCATCCTACTTACATTCTCAAATGCCTTCGGATATCTCTATCTCATCAAGACTTCTTACGCTTGCCTTTGTGGTATTTCCGTCTTCAGCTTACTTCACAGTCAACGTACAACAAAGTACGATTGATCAATGGCGTAAGTTGCATTCCTAAACTCATGAAGCCCGTTGGCTTAGCCTTCTTTCCACTGACGTATCACCTGCGGCGTCTGGCCTTGTTAGGAGTTCACGGCGGGCACACAACGTTCATGGCACGAGGAGTAAAGGCAAATGCGGATTCTGTTCGACTGGCTCCTTTCGTCGGCGTTATCGATGGTACAACGGGCAGGCCAGCGGATAAGTCTCCTTACGCATTATCGACCGGGCAACCTCAAGAAGTGTCGCCCTTAGATGATCTAATGAAACAATCATCATCTCGTTGGAGGTTGCCAGTGTTGGTGTTTTGTGGCAAAAATGATGAAGGGATGTGTCTCGACGATGAAGAGTATTTAGGCAGACCGCTGTAAGTCTACCCAACACTTTCGCTTCTTCTTACTCTTTTTTTTTACATTCTGACACCATTCCTTATGTATCCAACAGAG